AGCAGTAAGATCTATGTAACAAGTTAGTCTTAAGAATATCAATAAAGAGTACACATTCCGGTGCAGCTCAAAAGTATATTTCTTTCGACTCATATCGTGTAAACGATATTAACTGGGGGCTCAACCGGGATGGCTAATATACATGCTATCCAAAGCCATATTCCGAAAGGAATAAAATAATAAATTCCACAGGAAGTAAGACTAAAAGCCTGAAAAAAGTGTGAAAATAAACGGCAATAATTAGAAGTACAAATCCGAAACAGCGGATAATACTTCAAGAAATGAACCACCAGCAGATCCTGAAAAAATGGACAGCGGCGAGTTCACCAGGGTTCACAAAAGACCCTGAAGTAGCGGACAACGTGCAATCCTGCAAAGATCTGAAAAAAGGTGGAGCAAATCAAAAAAAAAAGTATAGGTCCTGAAATAGCGGATAATACTTTCACCAAACTCCAAAGCAGATCCTGAAAGAGCGGACAGCGCCGAGTCCAACAATAACGAAACAACAGTAATCTAAGGAAGAAGATTACATGTTTACACCTCGACTAAACAGCAAGAAAGAAATTGAAAAATTGTTAAATTATCCAACCTATAGTTCCAAAAAAAGGTACCGAAAACAAGGGAAACCAAAAAAGGAAAATGGACGCTCATACAATTAAGCTACGAAATTCCCGAGATCAATACGACTATTGAAAACTTAGGAAAAGCAAAGATTTTTTCTGAAATCGCTTTTGGTAAAAATATCACAACTAATTTTGAAAAAATGATTTATAAAAACTAAATCATAAATAAAACATATCAAAAGAAACCCACAATAATAATTACATATATACCTAATATAAGAAAATTAATAATAATGATAATATTAATTAAATAAAAGCACGATAATAAAAATATACTTATAAACATCAAAATTTAATGAAGCAAAATACATTAGTTAATAATACAATTAATTGATAAAAATAATCAATTATTGATAATAATAATATGTGATAGTACAATCAAATGTCAATCGATGTAAAAATTCCGAAGAATCATACGAGATTGAACTACGCCGACTTTAAGCCGAGTTCCTCCGACTATAGCAGATTTGAAATGAGGACATTTCATTTTAAACACCGGGGAGAGTTAAGGAGCGTTTACTTATCCTAAACAAACAAACGTCAAAACAACCTTATCTCTGAATGAACTGAATGTTTGAAAACAACATTAAACAAAACAACCTTATCTAAGAACAATGCAAATGTATTTAAACAAACAATATGTTATATGTAAAGAAACTATCAACTAGTAATAAGTAACACTAGTTAGTATAAATAGCAGTAAGATCTATGTAACAAGTTAGTCTTAAGAATATCAATAAAGAGTACACATTCCGGTGCAGCTCAAAAGTATATTTCTTTCGACTCATATCGTGTAAACGATATTAACTCGCGGACATTGTGTTGTCGAAAAAAACCAAATGACGACTTTGTCGACAAACATACATATATACATATGAGCTCGCATACATATTGACGCCGAATTTTGCGCATCGTGTTGAGAAAATTTGTTCCAATCGACAATTTTACGACAATGTCGGTCGGCTATGTTGTCTCGTTTGTCCTTTCTGCAGTGGTTTGCTATTGAAAGTTGACTTATGCCAGAGAATGTAAATGAATATTCAATTAATATTAATGATGTAATAATTTAATGTAAATGAATATTCAATTAATATTAATGAATATTCATTTACATTCTCTGCTTATGCTCTTTTGAAATATTGCGATTATCGATTGGGCTGCATTTTCATAGCGTCGTATTCAGATAAAATGAGCTAAATCGACAAACTATGAAATAATAATAATAAGTAAACATATGTATGTGTAAAAGTACTATATGGAGTGTGCTTAGAGTATATAGAAGTAATTAATGATTTCATATAAATGGCAATTTTATATACATTTTATAATTTAATGCCATATATAGTGCATAATATGAAATATATTAAAATATTATTTTAACTCGCTAATAGGTCATGTTGCCAATTCTCCTTTCTGAAGGGAACATCAGACAAATTCTTCAATTTCTGATTTTTAGCAAATGATGTGAGGAAGCAGCTTGTGGGCAACATACAAATGCGAGGGGAATGGTAGGATTTTCAGTGGTGGCTGTCAAATTGTAAAATTGAATTTTTCTCGTTTTACTGAAACCATTCAAATTCAATTTCATTCATATTTTACAAACTTAATTTTTCGCATTTGCATAGGAATTCTATATGAAAACCAAATGTGGTTTACCGGGCGCACAGAAAAGATAGCGTGGCGCTGAGTTATGAACGAAAGCACTTTGTTTTGAAGCAGACGTATGTTCCTTATGAATGAATTTGCTGTCGTTGTAATATAAAATACTTAAAAAATAAGCCGCGAGTTCGCTTGAATATTATTGGCCTATGATGATGCGTCTACGTTTTTTGTCACTTGCGCGAATGTTTTATTTTTTTGCGAAAGACATATTGAGGGACATACATACATATGTGCATATGTGTACATATATGCAAATATATTTGGATATATAGATGAATTGAAGAAAGTAAACAACAATAGCTGTTTGAGTTCACAGATTAGCCAAAATTGTTCGAATATCGTCTGTGATGCTGCTTGTATAGCACACTTCCTTATTGCAACGTGAAATATTTTGCTTAAGCTCAAATCCTATCAGATATTTTTATACTCTCGCAACCTGTTGCTACAGAGTATAATAGTTTTGTTCACCTAACGGTTGATTGTATCACCTAAAACTAATCGAGTTAGATATAGCGTTATATCTATATAAATGATCAGGATGAAGAGACGAGTTGAAAACCGGGTGACTGTCTGTCCGTCCGTCCGTCTGTCCGTCCGTGCAAGCTGTAACTTGAGTAAAAATTGAGATATCTTTATGAAACTTGGTAGACATGTTTCTTGGTACCATTAGACGGTTGGTATTGCAGATGGACGTAATCGGACCACTGCCACGCCCACAAAACGCCATTAATCAAAAACAAATAAATTGCCATAACTAAGCTCCGCAATAAGATACAAGACTGTTATTTGGTACACAGGATCACATTAGGGAGGGGCATCTGCAGTTAAAAATTTTTTTTAAACTGGGTGTGGTCCCGCCTCTAATAGGTTTAATGTGCATATCTCCTAAACCGCTAATGCTATAATAACAAAATTCACTGGAAGCAAATGTGTTTAGAACCTCTACCTACAGTGGGAAAATAGTTGAAATCGGGTGGCAAATCCGCCCACTCCCCATATAACGGTACTGTTAAAAACTACTAAAGCGCGATAAATCAAGCACTAAACACGCCAGATACATTAAATTTTATCTCTGGGATGGTATGAGATGACTTTATAGGAACCGCGTTCAAAATTATATATCTTGGGATCTGCTTAACCGATTTCAACCAAATTCGGTGCATAACGTTCTTTTCCTATTTCTATGTTATATTGCGAAAATGGGCGGACTCACAAACCACATCGGACTACAACCACGCCTATTTCCCATATAACACCATTTTCAATTCCATCTGATTCTTTCACTTTCCACTATGCATATCAAGCAACAATGATTATATCGGGGTAAAACTTTGCGTGAATAATACGTTTAATGTATGCCACCTTGTGACCAAAAATTGTCTGAATCGAACCAAAACTGTTCAAGCCCCTAAGTACGAAATATGTGGACCCCAGTGCCTATAGTTGACCTTCTACCGAAAATATCAGTCAATCCACAAAGAAATCTCAAACGATTATACCATTTGACTTTGCGAGAGTATGAAATGTTCGGTTACATCCGAACTTAGCCCTTCCTTACTTGTTTTATACTATTTTTTTTATTTTTATAACCCTTTTTTATTAAATGATATTTTAATTCTAATTTCATTATTATTTCCCTCCTTATTTATATTTTCTTTTCATAAGTCAATTATTCTCCATTTTATTACTTTAATTTTTGTTTATGCGCATAATAAAGAACATCTGTGCATATGTATGTATGTATATACATTTTGCTTATAGAGTGGTGTAGTTCGTTGCGTAAATTGATAGGATGGTGAAATTTTATTTTCGAACTTGCGCGTTTTCGATGTTCCCTCATCGTAATTAACATTTTAGTACAGCTAACATATGCTCCTTCTCTATTCATTAACATTCTCTGGTTTTAGTACGGCAACAGCGAAATTGCGTACTTCAGATTATCAGACATATGTCGTTCAAAATGTTCAAGAAGCTGGCTTCAAGACGACAACTGCCGACAAGAAAATTTCGTTGTCGCGCAGTCGTCTTTGTGTTCAAAGAATAAGAAAGAGTTTCATAGAATCCAGCATATTGCTCAAATGTGATGATGCATGTACATATATATGTACGCATTTTAAATGGCCACGGATGAAATTTATCTACCAAATTTGGTTGACCATGTGTATAAAGATATACGTATGTATGTGCATACGTTTATTCAATCTATATGGTTTATCATGCTGACTAATTTGAATGTTATGTCGGTTGCTAAAATCTCTCAGCTGAATTTAACACTTAATTTCGAGATTAGTTAAAATAATTTAGAATAGGTAAAAGAAAAACCCTGCTTTACATAGCAAGTAGAACTGCATGATAATTTTCAAAGAAGCTCCCAATCAAAATGTATATGCAGACAATAATAGAAGATTATATTAAGGCTCCAGCCAATTCTGTATTGCTTATTTATTTATTGATAAGAGCCAATTTGTGAAAATTTAATTTTTAAAATACGTACATAACATATGTATATACTTGTACTACGTATTTATGGGAAAAATTTATACTGATTAGAAGTGGCCGCCTGTATTTATAAAGTTTCGAATCAAAATCATATGCATATATGCATGTATGTACAAGACATATTTATATGTATATATATTATAATTCAAAACATTGATAAAAAACCGCTTGTCATTTTCTCCTGGGATTTCGGCGAAAAGTAAACAATTTAAAATAGTCTACGTAGATTCAATCTTTACTCAGTTCGAATTGGAACGGTATTGACGATCGATCGCTGTGCATTTTCACCAATTTTATTGAAGTACAGATCCTTCTACGTTTAGCGTACAAGGATGGTTGTAGAAACGTGGAAACAGTCAGGAATTGCAACCAAATTTCCTACATATAGGAATTCGAAACTAATCACAACTAAAGGGTGAGTAGAGTGACTTTAAATTTTTTAAAGTGCCAAGTGTTACTCAAAATGCGTGTTTGCCGAGAAAATTGCCATTAGTTGCATCTTTTTTGAATTATAAAAACCAAAGTGGTTAACTTCTTAGCAGCAGATTTTATTGAGAGTGAAGAAAGCCAGCATCTCTTCGTTTGTAGTAAAAGTATTTTAATATTTCTAGGAAATTAGCTCTAATCCATCATTAAAATTCTGAATGTTGTGTTTATCAATCTTGGTTTAAACCGAAGCAGGGGCTTAAAATAGCAGGCTTTGAGTTAGAGGATTTTGAGGAGTTCATTAATGTGGGGAAATTTTCGCAAATATATGTTTTAATGTTGGACTCAGACCCGTCGGAAGGGCGGTGTTATTACCGATAAAGCGCGGTCTTGCGTGAAAAGGTAAAACGTGACTGGTTGGTTTGGAATAAGATAACAAAAGCATTTTTCTGTTTACCACGTCGCCTTTTTAGTACAAATAATATAACGAATGCTAAAGGACAAGCATGGAAGGAACTATGTGAGAAATTCCCATCACATGAAGGCAGCAGCGATCATTTTCAGTGTTACATTCAATGGTGTAATTTGGAAACACGTATAGCAGAGGATCCACCATCAACATGTTTTTGTGTGATGAAATAGTGAGTGAAGCTAAAAAGTGGAGAAAAATTCTAAAACGAATTTTAGACACCATTTTGTTCTTGAGTGGGAGAGAATTAGCGTTACGAGGAGAAATTGGTCAACTGAACAACGAACATTTTCTGGGATCTTCTTTAGTCGACATTTAGAAAGATTTAGGCATTTAGAAAACTTTAGGGCTTCTCAAGAATCACATCAGCATTTAAAAGTTCATTATCTGTCTACGCGAATACAGAATGAATTTTTTGAACTTTGTGCTCATCGTGTGATATCCTTCATATTGGAAGAATGAAAAGAGGCTAAATATTACTCAATAATTTTGATTCAACACCTGATTCCAGCCACGTAGAGCAAACTACATTTATTTTGAGTTATATCTATCTCGATGCTGAGAAAAAAGTCTTCTACATAGAGGAACGTTTCCTTGCTTTTTAGATTGTCACAAAAAAACCGGTAAAGCTATTGCCGCTTTAATTTTCAACATTGGAAAATTACAATATTCTTTTAGAAGATTACCGTGGACAGGCCGATGATAATGGTAATAATATAAGAATGCAGTTCTTTCGCCCTGTGGTGTCCACACGCTGGAGTCAACTCGGCTGCATGCAGTCCTCGAGCAATAACTTTTTCGGTGTCATTCAGTAGCGGCACACAACGTTGGGAAATTCTTAAATCTAAAATACTCAATTCGCTTCACTGTCTTTCTAACACTACGTGGTCTGTCAAAATCGATGACGCCAAACCAGTTGCGAAAATTCTTCCCGGATTGATAAACGCTCTAAATGAAGTTAAAAAACTCAAGCTTACGGCAGAAACTCGTCGAGACGTTCATGGAATTTTGAAATATATGAGCAAATTTGAGTTGTTGATGGTCTCCATAATGGTTTAAACCCCTTCATTCAATCAATGAAATAAATTTGGTTCTTCAAGAGATCAATGCCACCATCGACGTTAAAGTTAGTATTATAGAAAGCCTTCTTATGGACTTGCAATTTGTAATGAATGCAAAATTGCTGCAGAGAATTTAGAGCATATTGAGACGATTTTATTATCAGCAAAAAAAAAACCAAAAACACGGAAATTGAATTCAAAAGGAATCGTTTTCATTTCTATAGCAGTGACATCATATAAAAGAAGATGAACTAAACGCAGCTGCAAACAATTTTGCAATTTTGTATATATAAGATAAGTTGTCCCTTGAAGCTATTCATCTCAGACACGTTTACGATGCAAATTTTGAAACATGTCTCACTTTATACAACATCCTGAATGCCATCAACGCTCGAAAATTTTAAAGATATTTCCCAAACATTTGCATCGCTTTGAGAATATTTTGCACTTTACCCGTTTTCGTTTCAAGTGGTAAACGTTTATTTAGTGCTTTATAAAGGGTTAAATGTTTTCAACGATCGTGCTCGTCACAGGGCAGGATTTCTGGACTAGCTACACTGTGCCTAGAGGCAGAATTAGCCAAAAAGTTGGATTTCCAGCTACCTTCTAAGTTTCAAATAATTGAATATATGAGGATTTTAAAAAGCAGGTTCCAAAACTTTATCAGGATATTAAAATTTCAAAAAAATTTCTAATTCAAAAGAACCGTTTTTTCATTAATTAGATCAATAAATAATGTTTGAATGAGATGTTTCTGTCTTCTTATTAACAGGCAAGTTTTGCTATCCCTATATTCATATATTCCGGTATAATCTGAAGAAATTATTTTTGACTGAAAGTCTACGTATGAATTAATTTATACATCATTGATTTTTAAAATAGTAAAGGGTGATCCATTTCGTGGTTCTCTCCATTTTTAAAGAAAAAAACACAGAAAATTCTTTGGAATTTAGTTTTTAAAGATTATCTCTTTCAAATGTTGACCGCGGCTACGTCTCAGATGGTCCATCCTTTGAGTCCAATTTTAGATGACTCGTTCTCACCGGCATCATTTGTGAAGAAATATGCACCGATGATTCCACCGGTCCACATACCACTCCAAACCGTCGTTTTTCTGGATGAAATGGCAGCTCTTGAATGTCTTCAGGTTGCTCTTCGTCCCGAATTTGGCATTTTTGCTTGTTTACATACCCATTGAGCCAGAAATGGGCCTCATCGCTAATAAAAAGTTTGGCTCTAAAACGTCGGATCTTCTTGTAACTTTTCAAAAGACCATAGAGAAGTCTTTCCATGATTAAATGCCAAACAATACTAAACAAAAATAACTTGACAGCTTGACACGACTCACGTGTTATCTGTCAAAAAGGGCTATTGAAAAAAGTACCTCTACTTGGGTCACCCGTTGCAAAACAAATTTCTTATCATGCCTCAACCACCGTATTCACAAGATTTGGCTCCTTGCGACTTTTTCCTATTCCCAAAACTGAAGAAACCAATGAAAGGAAAGCGTTTTGCCACAATCGATGAGATCAAATTAGAATCGAAGAAAGAGCTGATGACCATACCGAAAAGCGCATTTCAGTAGTTTCTTCGAGAATTGGAATAAGCGTTGGCACCAGTGTTATATCCGAGGTGGATTACTTTGAAAGGGACTAAATAGATATTGATAAATAATAAGTACTTTAAAATAAATTCAACGTTTTTCAACGAACCTTTTCTTTGAACACACCTCGTGAGAGTATAAAATGTTCGAGCTTAGACCTTCCTTACTTGTTATAATATATAATATAATATGTACGGAAAAATTTAAACTAGAAATCTTGTTTTTTAGAAACAAAAAATTCACATAATTCAATTATTTCTTTTATATATGTAGATAGAAGTAATTTTCTTAAATCATCTATTTACTTTTAATAAATTAAAATGTATATTTGACAACCTCATGTATCAGCATTTGAAACGCTGGTTGTAAAACAACTTGAAATAATCAAAATTTGTTTCTATAACAACGTGGGATAAGCTCTTAATTTTTGTTGAACATGGTGCAATGACAAATCGTTTCTATCGTAAAAAAATTACTTTACTCGTAAATAGGTAAATAGCTAAATGTCAGCGGTTATCCACAACATCGGCAATGTATGTAAAAGGTGTACCTCACGCAGGCCTATGCCAAGTTCAATATGATTAAGAAAAGAGTCACATTTATAAGGTATATTTAAAAAAAAACGAGAACTTCGACTGCACGTAATATAATACCCTTCACAACTGAATCATCAGTCGTGTGCTATGTACATACTTGTATATCCTATAGGTGTGGATATTCGCGGATCCGACAAATGAGCTTTCGTTTGATAAAGGAAACAACGAAAATCCTGTACCCTTTAGTGTCTGTCTTAATATACATATGTAAATATATGTTTTGTTTAGAGTATAAAACGGTGTTCATATTTATATTAAAATGTTTACAATAACAAGGATCACTTTATACTAGTATTAAAAGAATATTTGATGTGGCACCTGAAGAATATTAAACAAAACATTTTCACAAAGAGATTTTTAAAATCGTTTCATCTTCTCCACAGATGGCTCTTGGGCAAACAAAAAGACGACGAAGCTGAAGGCTTATGGCGAATTTATGATGGAATCTATGATTTACGGAATTTATAAATAAGCACCCGGGTGGCGAGTTTTGGTTAATCGAATCGAAGGTAAAAATTAATATGAATTCAAAATATGGTATAGCTTGCTTATACACTTAAATTATGTTCTCAGGGTACCGACATTACCGAAGCATTTGAGGCCCACCATATCTTCAAGGGCCCCAGAAGTTACTTCAAAAATATAAAGTACGTGATGCAAAAATCAGCGCATTTATACCTTCACTTTGCATGAAGATGGATTCTATAAGACTTTGCGTGAACGTGTTCGTGAAACACTCAAAACTATTGATACCACTCCAAAGAAGAAAAGTGATGTAAGTGGCCTTTTGAAATTATACCTAAATTTCGTGAAAAGTTATGTTTAGCTAATAATTTGAACATAATTTTCAGCTAATACACTTATCATTATTTGTGTCCATATTTATTTTCGCTGTATTAAGCGCGCGTCTGAATAGTATACTCTGCTTAGCGCTGGCCGGCACAACACTTTGTTGGACTACCATTGCAGCGCATAACTATTTCCACAGGCGAGATAATTGGCGCATGTACACTTTAATATGAGCATGATGAACTTCTGCTCGTGGCGCATTTCTCATGCACTCTCCCACCATATATATCCAAATTCATATTTCGATTTGGAATTGTCAATGTTTGAGCCGCTTGTTTGCTGGATCCCCAATCCTTATATAAAGAACAAGATGATGCGTTACCTCTCAATTATCACAGAGCCATTGACCTATTGTATTGCTTTCCCATTACAAAGGCAACCAGGTAGTGCCTCGAATTTCTCTAATGTTGAACACTATTACATTTAATACATTTGTTTCAGATTATTTACTCGCTACGTCATATCAACATCATGTACTGGCATGATATTCTGCCGCTCAGTATACCACTAGCAATCTTTCTGTTCTCTGATATCTCATTTTTTTATCGTTCTGGTCAGTGGATATTCATCACTATGATTGCCAGTTTTGCTTTCTGCGTTATTGGTTTGAATGCTGCTCATCACGACCCAGACATCTATCACGAAGGTGATGCAGCTCTG